CCGACCATCCATGAGACCTTGGACAAGTCTCTGATCCTCAGTTTCTTCCTTTGTAAAATGGACATAATAATACCCACAATGCCTATCTCATAGGGTTATCTTGGGGAAAGCACTTGGCCAAGTTTCAAAGGGCTCTATAAATGTGAGTTTTGTAGCTCAATTGGTAATCATAAAAGGCCTTTATCTTACAGGCTTAGAGAGCGCCCCAAGGCTAGAAAAATGAAGGGACTAATATATGGGTGGGGAACCTTCTGGCCTGGAGGCCTTCTAGGTCCTCAGGTGCTGCCTTTTGACTGAGTCCAAGTTTTACAAAACAAATCATTTTATTAAGAGAATTTTTTCTGTGAAGTTTGGATTCAGCCAAAGGGCTGCACTTAAGGACCTAGAAGGTCACATAGCAACTAGTGTTTAGAGGACAGATTGTTGCCTGGGGCTTCCAGACTCCAGGAAGTCCAGGGCTGTTTCTATTCTTATATCATACTTCCTCTCTATTAATATCGCATTTTCTTGAGATAGGGCACACCTACACTGTAAAATAAGAGCAAGCTATTACCATACAATATATCTATCTTATTATACACTGCCTACTCTTAGCTAACATTTACATAAGGTTTGCAGAGTACTTTTGGTATACAGAGTCCTGGTGTATCTTGGGGCCTTTTTTCACCAAAGGTCTTAGTGCATTTGGAAACTATGAAAGCTGTAAAACTTAACACCGGCCTAAGACTTTTAGGACACCCTGTATTATCTCACTTGGTCCTTGTAACAGCCCTGTGAGGTAACGTGCTATTGTTACCCCTATTTTACAGATGAGGAAACTGAGGCTGGGGAAGTGAAATGATTTGCCCAAGGTCACAGAGCTAACAAGTGTCTAAGGCAGGATTCAAACTCAAGTTCAATAAACTTTATCCAGGTCCAACACTGAATCCACTGTGCCACCTAGCAGATGACATGTATTATTATTATAATCTTACAGTTTATAAAGCAAGCTTCTCACAATACTAGGGGGGAGGCTGGGATGGCATCATGGTAGAACCTTGGACTTGAGTTTCAAATGCCAGCTGTGTGAGGAAGTGCTGGTATTCTGAGAATAATTATATTTTGTATAGCCTGCATCTCAGACAGGGGTTCTTTATATAATGGTCCATTACAGCTGTTACAAATGGTCATGACTGCTAGTGAATGGCAGGGCCGATGCTAGAACCTGGGTCTTCTGATTTAAATCCGGAGGAGGAAAACAGCATGATGATATGAAAAGAACACTGGGTTTTATGTCAGCAGACCTGGCTTTGCTATTGACTGCCTGTGTGAACTTGAGGCAAATCCTTTCCCTTTCCCTGGTTCTCAGGTTCCTCATCTGTAAAATAAGGGGCTTGGACTGCATTGCCTCTAAGACCGCCTTCAGAAAGCCAAATGTTCTTTCCTGTACTCTAGAACCTCTCCGATTGAAGCTTCTGAAGGACTTCCTTGTTCTATGGGGCTGGGTAGTTATACAGAGACAGTATCACTTCCCCTGTATTATTAAAAAGCAAAGCACCTCCCCCAAATTCCACCCCTTACTACCCCCTTACCCCCAAACCCCCCTTCAATCCCCCCCCAAAAACAAAGCGCTCCCCATCAATTCTGCTCCTTGGTCCTTGGATAGAGGGCAATTATGAGATTGGCCACTGGCAACAATGTAGAATGGCCTTACGCATTCCAAATCACAAAGGGCTACAATGCATCTACCTACATCACTGATCATACCTATACCAGAATGACTATTGGAGAAGGTGCCCACCTTGCCACTAGAAATCAATAAACTACCTGCTGCTGGTGCCTGAAGCTGTTCACCCCCCAGACAAGGTTGGATATAGCCATAACTACCCGTATGATGACCTTGCTCAGTTCCTTGTAGGTCCACTTTAAGCCTCCAGATGTCATTCACCTTCCTTAGCAACCATGCAGAGTCTCTGTACAGTCTGAACAACTCCTTTGAAGTCCATGACTTCTGTCAAGGTGGGCCAGGTACAGGGGGCTTCTCCTCCTCAAAGCAGCCATCTTCTCCTCCCAGAAGCTCTGTATACTGCAGTAGTTGGAGGAGGGCTGTTCCAGTAGTGCAACCAGAATTAAATGAGGCACCCAGAAGATAGCTTACTGCTATAAAGTTCATCTTTCAAATCTCTATTTGGCCACCTATACCCAGTATAAAAAAACACAAAACAGAAAAGGCAGCCGGAAGATTAAATTCCCAGCTTAGGTTCACCTGTATGAACCCCTGCTCTAGCAGCCACATGTAAGCAGTCACCATTTCTGTTAAGGTAGGGGAGGCCCCCATTGCTCTCACTGTAAGTCAGAGAGACAGAGACAAAGGCACAGAGAGAGACAGAGACAGAGAGAGAGGGAGACACACACAGACACACAGAGAGAGAGACAGAGTGAGAGAGAGTTAAAGTTCTAAGCCAATTCTTTTGAAGTGAGAGTAGAATCTGTCTCTCCTTTTAAACTGAGGCAATCTGCTACTGTCATCATGATTGGGGGACAAGAGGAGGTTTAAGGTGTAGGGGTGAGATGGAAACAAAGCATTTGCTACATCATCCTAAAGCCCCAAGTCCTTCAGTACCCAGGTCCACATGTGGCCCAAAGTCTCACATATGGGGAAGGTAGAGAGGGCGTTCTGTTTACCTCCACTATGCTGGAATTCTTTGCCCATTCATGCTGCAGGTCCAAAGAATTGAGCATATTGCAAGGTCACCCTCCTGGTTAACTGACTTCTCATATTTTAAACCTTCTTCATTTTAGTGAGCACAGGGAAAGATATAGATTCCAATGGGCACCAGCAAGGCTCAGAGGATCCAAAATACTTGTTTTATATATGTGAGTTGATTTTAAATATGTTAAAAGTCAATTTTAGCCCTTCAAGTGTTCATTCATTTGAAAGTAGATTTTTTTCAAATTTCTAAGATTCCACAATTTAAAAATTTTTTTTTAATTAATTTATTTTGATTGATCAACAATCACTTCCATAAGCTTTTGAGTTTTAAGTTTTTCTCCCTCTCCTTCCCCACCTCCCTCCCCAATCTGATATAGGATATACATATACATTCCTATTAAACATATTTTCACATTGGTGATGTTGTAAGTAAGAATTAGAAACAATAGGAGAAACCACCAGAAAGAGGAAACAAAACACAATAGAAGAAAAAAATAGCAAATAGTATGCTTCGACCTGCATTCAAACTATAGTTCTTTCTTTGAATGTGGATAGTATTTTCCATCATGAGACTTTTGGAGATGTCTTAGATCCTTGCATTGCTGAGAAGAGCTAAGTCTATCAAAATTTGTCATCGCATAATGTGGCTGTTACTGTGTACAATGTTCTCCTGGTTCTGCTCACTTCACTCAGCATTAGACCATTCAACTCTTTCCAGGTTTTTCTGAAGTCTGCTTGCTCATCATTTCTTATAGCACAATAGTATTCCATTACATTCATAGACCATAATTTGTTCAGCCATTCCCCAAGTGATGGGCATCATCTCAATTTCCAGTTCTTTGCCACCACAAAAAGAGCTGCTATAAATATTTTTGTACATGTGGGTCCTTTTCCCATTTGTATGATCTCTTGGGGATACAGCCCTAGAAGTGTTATTGCCGGGTCAAAGGGAGATTCCACAAATCTTTAGAGACAGCTGGGAGGCTCCATGGATATAGCATTGGGCCCGGAGTCAGGAAGCCCTGAGTTCAAATCCAGCCTCAGACACTTACTAGATGTTTGACCTTGCACAAGTCACTTAATCTCAGTTAGCCTTTCAGTTTCCCCACTTGTAAAATGGAGATAATAATAGCACCTACCTCCCAGGACTGTTGTGAGGGATAAAAGAAGAGAATATTTGCAAAGTGCCATATAAATGCTAGCTGTTATAAATGGTATTCCTCCAACAACCCTGTGAGTTCTGGGTCCTAGGTCCATGAACAGATGAATATGATGCGTTGTAGTCTCCATGGGAAAGCCTGGTCAAACAAGTATTACAAATATAGTATATTATAACAATATAATCATAAACAATATAATAAGTATTGCTTTATTATTGATGATTTCCCATGGAAATAAAACTGTTCCAGCATCCAGGACCTTTCTCTTACTGGGTCTTAGCTTTTTAGGTCTAGTTTAGACAAAAAGCCATGGTCCAGCCCTGCTACTGACTAGTGGACATTATTGGGGGTGTTGGTGGTGAAGTGAAATCCTCACAGTTCTTTAACCTCTCACCCCAACTGTACGAAGTCCTCCCTCCCCCACCATCATTTGACCATTTGGCTTTTTCTTTTTTTTAAAGCAAAAATCACAGATGCTTCTGAAGGTTTCCTATTCTTCCCCTGGTGGGGAGGGAGTATCTGATTCAATCATATACTCTTTGCTTTCATTAACTAGGGCTGGTTTTTCAGCTTTCCCTTTCTTTATTCCTGATGGGCATCCCTGGTGCCAGACCTAGCCTGGGATATTAGCTCAGTTTCAGCCAGCCCGTCCATAAATAACTAGTTGTCAGGGATTTTAATGGAAACCCTCTTTAAGCTGTAAATCTTGGCCTCTCAGTCCTATACCCCCTACCTTCATTTCCATCACAATATCACTCTAGTGGGAGCAAAGACTGAAGCAGCAGATTGGTAGGACACTGGGGAGGGAGGTGAAATAAAGATGCAGAAGGTTGGGAGGGGGTAGACCCTAGAACAATTGGTCTTTCTGAAGCATCTGCTGGGTGACCAGTTGATAGTGGTCGCCTGGGTCCCTTCTGTATCTCTTCTCCCCATCTCCCTCCCCTTTCTGGGATGGGAAGGTGGTGGTGGGGGTGGTAAGGGTAGTTCAGCCCATAGCCTGAGGCAGAGAGGGGGAGAAGGGCTTCTGGGTGAGTGACAGATGTGCAGCTGGTTCTACTTTGGGCCCTCTGTTCATCCTATAGTAAATTTCAAAGGCATGTGGCAAAGGGCTTTCATGTCTGTGGGGAAAACTGTGTCCTTGTCTCTAGCACCTGGGTCTTTAGTAGATGAGGCTCCTGGTCCTGGAGATGGTGATGGTGACGATGATGGGGTGGGAGATACCTCCTGTACCCCAAGAGGCTGTTCCTGTGAGGGTGCTGTGTTTTACTTCTTAATCTATCAGTCAAGGCATTTTCAATTCATCTGTTCAAAGACCACCTCCTCTAGGAAGTCTTCCTTCAGAAGCAGTCCATTCCAACACTGACCCTTCTTCCAAGTTCTAACACAAACCTCCAGTTGCCTAAGGGATATTTCCATCTGGATATTTCACTGGCCCCTCAAACCTAACAGTTGCCCCCAAACCAAGTTCATTATTCATTCCAGTTCTATTCAATAAGCATTTGGTAAAGTGCCCATTATGTATACAGCACTGTGCTAGGTAACACAGATTGTAAAAACAAAAATGAAACAGTCAAGAATCTGAAATTCTCCTGGATTATCCTTATCTGTGATCTTCTATTTTGGTCAGTGGCTTCACCATTTAGTGTGTCATATTTGAAAACTTATTCACAAGTTCTCAGCCTTGGGTTGGTGAAATGGTTTTAAAAACATGTTGATAACTGTATTCCAATATATGATAGATATCCTTTGTACTCCTATGCATTTTATTTTGTGCATTTAAAGACATTGTTTGGAGAAGAGGTCCCAAGAGGTTCTCCACAAAAAAAGTTTAAGAACCTCGGTCCTGTGTTTAACTTAAGCTCTTTCATCTCCTCCCACATCCAATTAGTTCTCTGAGCCCTCGAAGTTTTAGCTATACCAGTCTTTCAAATGCAAGCTTGCCTCTTTTTATCACCACCCTCCCTCACACCTTCGGGCCCTGATTACTTCTTACTAGATTATCTTGTCTGGATGTAATCGTTTCTAAACTTGTCTTTTCACCTTTCCTCTTTCGCCCTCCAATTCATTCTTCCCAGCACTGACAGATTAATCTTCCTTGTGCATCACTTTTATTACATAGTCTCTCTGTTCAAAACTTCTCTTTAATGTCTATGACAAAAAAAGCAGGACTGTTCTGTTTGGCCTAGGAGGGTAGAAATAGAGAACACCCAATGGATGGAAATTACAGGGAGGCACATTTTTTTTTTTTGGTTTAACGTTTCCTCATAATTAGAATTAGTCTAACATCTAGTTCCCTAATATACCGACAACTCTAGGAGGGTAAGACTGTGTCTGTTCAGTCTTGTCTGACTCCATTACCCCATTTTTCTTTTTTTTTTTTTTTTGCAAAGATACTGGAGTGGTTTGCCATTTTCTAAAGATGAGGAACTGAGGCAAATAAGGTTAACTTGCCCAGGGTTCCAGGGCTAGTAAGTGTCTGAGGCCGGTTTTGAATTCGCCAACAGGAATCTTCCTGACTTTAGGCCCGGCACTCTATCCACTAGGGCTGGGCGCCCCATGATCTAAACTTCTAATTTTCCCAAACACCTAGGCAATAAATATAAACGCATAGCAATTTGTTAATACCATATGGCTTGGTGGAAGAGCATTAAACTTGGCGTCAGAACCCTGAATTAGAGTCCTTTCCTGGCTCTTATGGGGGGGTGTGGGGTGTGGGGTGTGTGTGTGTGTGTGTGTGTGTGTGTGTGTGCGCCCGCGCGCACAGTTTCCTCATCTGAAGAAGGAAATGGTGAAAATCGAGTGTGTCTGAAGGACAGTTATTTAACCTTGTAGTAAGTTATGAGGAAGGTGATTTGTAAAACTTAAGCCACTAACTTTGCGATAGATAGATGGATAACAGTGATGGATGGATGGAGGGATGGATAGGGAGACGGATAGATGAAGGATAGGGAGGGAGAGGAAGAAGAGGAGGAGAAAGGAGAATGAGGGAAGGGGGAGAGACAGAGATAGACAGAGACAGACACACAGACAAAGACAAGAGAGAGGCACAGAGACATAGAGAGAGACAGAGACATTTGGTAAGGCCTGCTATGTGCCAGGTACCATGCTAAGTGTTAGGATTACAAATACAACGACAGTCCCTGTCCTCAAAGAGCTTACATTCTACAGAGGACGACAACAAATAAAGCGGAACGCATGATTGGAGGATGTTTGTTGAAAAATGATTGGTGTCCAAAACAAGTATAATAATAATAAAGAAACGTAAAGCGTTTGATGCATGACCTATGACCATTTGTCTTCCTCCGCTGCCTGGGGTAAGCCAAGCCCCATTTTGTGTTGGCCCATCTAATGGGAGGGTCAAGCTTAACCACATCACAATGTTCGGAAGTCACGCCCCCCAGAAAAAGAAGCGTGCATTCGAGGCTGGAAACTCATTCACCCTGCAAAAGCAGAGGGTGGTAGAGCTGAATATTCCGACCCAGCACGCTGATTGGCTGAAGGCCAAGCCCTGGCCCGGACCCGCCTCCCCTACTCCCGCTACCTTAGCCGGCCTTGCGCTTGCGCACCTGGATTCTTCGCTGCCCAGAGATGCGAATGGAGCTGGGATTCAGTCTCCCTTCGTTGCTCGCGCTGGTTCTCGAGGATTCTGCGTCCTGGCGTCTCCCGGGACAACCCTCGGTCTCTTCCCAGTGGGAGGAAGAGGGCGGTTAATTTATTGGGAAGGGCTGTCAGGAAAAAGGGCCAATCTAGAGCCCGAGATCTGGCTCATGCAAAAGCCATGCTCCGACCCACCCGAAGTTGCGCCGACAGCAGAGTGGGTTTGGGGCTGGCTATGGGGCGCAGCGACACCCTGCAGCCTATGGAGTGGGGGAGGGAGGCAGCGTCCACTTTGGCCGAGAGCGATACGGACAGCGGAATGGGGGCGAGCAAAGGCATGAAGAGCCGTGGGTAAGAGTGCCCGCCGCCCACCCTTGTCTGCCCCGGATGTCCCCGCTGCAGGCCACCGTGCCCCCATCCCACCACGTCCTGATTCTGCGCCCTCCAAGCTCCGTTCCAGCCCCCAAAACTCATGCAGCCAGGCCCCTTGCATACCTCACCCCTCACCGTAAACGTACCCCCAAACTCACCAGTCTCTGTCCTGATTCCTTCCACCAACTTCACTCCTGGTACCCCTACTCTGCTCTCCATTTCTGTAGACCCTTTAAATACGTGTCTGGCTCTCTTCCTCCCCACATCCCCTTTCTTGACCCAGCTCCCACCCCTTTCTCTGAGCCTCAGTTTCCTCATCTGTAAAATGAGGAAGGCTCTTTCAGCCCTAGAGCTATAACTATGAACCCCTTACTCTGGGTTACTCTCCAGTTTCCTTCCAAGACTTCCCAAATCCTTTCATTCTACCGCAGAATAGGGCTTCTGGTGCTCTTCGTTTCTCAAGAGTATGAGTCAAAGTCTCCAATGTCCACGGACCCCTTTGCACCAAATACCTACACTCCATTTCCTTGGAGGACCTTTCAAAGAAGGGGACCTTTCGGCATTCCTCAATACTCCCTTATCTCCTCCCTGGCTGGCTTTCCGGTCCCTCACCATGGAGCAAAATCCTTAGAGCTATGATGAAAGCTCTACCAGAGATTTGAACCTTGGAAACAGTGGCAAATCCCATTTGTTGGATAATACAATTTAGGCCTTATTGAGAGCAAAGTTGGGCACATAGAATCACAAAACTAAAAGGGACCTTGGAAATTATGTTGTCTAATGAAGTAAACTAAGGCTGGGAGAGGTTAAATGAGATATCCCAATATCTTATTGTTGGCCAAGCTAGTATTAAATGTCAATCAACAAGCCAGTTTGTTAAGTTGATACTGATTGCCAAGCACTGTATTAGGCACTGGATATGGAAAGACAAAAATGAAACAGTCCTTGCCCCTAAGGACCTTCCATTCCATGGGGGAGACAAGTACATATATATATAAAATAAATATGAGATAATTTATTGGGGGTATCAGAAGAGGCTTCACGGAAAATAAAATGGTGGCACTTAGAACCCTGATTCCCAGTCCAGTGCTCCATTACACAATCCCAGCTAAGCAGTTACATTTTTTTGCCTTACCTGAAGAATTCTCTGATATATCCATCCAGCAGGATAAAAAGATGGGCTCTGAGCCACCCAGCAGTATTATTATTGCTCTTGGTGGGTGGCAGTATTATTAATAAGCACTTTATATTGGCAAAGCACTTACGCAATTACTTAATCCTCCCCATGTTGCTGGTTTCCAATTTTACAGAGAATTGTTGCAGACCTCCTGCTGAATTAGTGGAAGGGCCAGAAATAGAACCCAACCAGTTACAAACTCCCAGGTCTGAGGTTCATCTCTGTCTCCTGGCATTTGTTGGGCCTCTGTTGCGTCTCGTGTATTGCAACTGCTTTGAAAAAAACTTAAAGCAAATTCCAGCTGTGACCTCATCAGTCTTTTTGATAACCCTGTAATAGGAGACAGATTAAGGTTGAAGTTTTTGTAGTCGCTCTGCTCAGACTTTGTTTTTAAGGAAAAAAACTGGCATAGAAAAGACAGTTATTTAGTGCTTGTTGCACAGTGAGCCAAAGGCCAAACTTGAAATTAAATTCTGATTTCACAGGCCCCCATCTGCTTTCCAGTAAGGCTTTTTTTTTTTTTCAGGGGCAGCTAGGTGGCACAGTAAAAAGAGCACTGGGGCCTTGAGTCAGGAAGGCTCATCTTTGTGAGTTCAAATCTGGCCTCAGACACTTACTAGCTGTATGACCCTGGGCAAGTCACTTACACCTCTTTACCTAAATGTCCTCATCTGTAAAAATAAGCTGGAAAAGGAAATGGCAAACCACTCCAGTCTCTTTGCCAAGAATGCACCAAATGGGGTCACAAAGAGTTGGACATGACTGAACAACAACAAAGGCCTTGAGTTGGACAGTACTGAACAGCAAAGGCCTTTTTTCAGCCTTAGACATTACACGTTAGTGCCCTCTAATAACTCCACAGTAGCTAACCTCATCTTCTTGCTGTTGTGCATACAAGACCTTCAGTTCCTGCTTACAACTGCTTGGAATACACAGCCTCCTTACATCCACCTCTGGGAGTCTCTGGTTTCTTTCTGAATTCAGCTCAAATGCCACCTTCTGCATGAGGCCCTTCTGGTCCCCCAGCTAATGCTCCCTCCCCAGCTGCTCCCTCTCCCTCCCCCAGGTTAACTTGCGTCTGCTTTATCTAAATAGAGCAGGTTGTCCCCCTCCTTAGAATGTAATCTCTTTGAGGGCAGGGACTTGTAATGTCTTTGTAATCCCTATTGCCTAGCACAGTGCTTGGCATGTATTGTAATAGGTTAATAAATGCTTCTTGGTATATTGATTTCCAAAGTATATGTTGTTGGAGGAAATGGTGTCAGAGTGACCTCCCATGTTAAGAGGCTTTGAGGGGGAGAGGGAAGAATTGGGAACAGGTACTAAAATGTGAGACACAAAGAACTGTCCAGTCTGAGCACATGAAAGAGAGAGAAAAACGACAGAGCAGACATAGGCAGTCCAATATTTGATTTATGCCTGCAGCCCTAGAGAACAAAAATGCCCGCTTTGGAAGTGAGAAGGAAGAGGAAACGGGGATTATAATAATAATAGCATTTATGTAGCATGCTAAGGTTGGCAAAGCATTGTAGAGAGACTGTCTCATTGGATCCTCACGACCAACCCTGTGAAGTAGGTGCTATTATCATCTGTATTTTACAGATGAGGAAACTGAGGCAGACAGAGCTGGTCACACAACTAGTATCTTGAAGTAGGATTTGAACCCAGATCTGCTTGACTCAACCATATTCATATGGCGGATGGCACAGTAAACTCTTTTTACAATGCTGTCCAGCTGCCTGATAAAGTTAATTGCCTAATTTATGCATTGTGACATTTAATCAGTTTTCTCCTGTAAACTGCCCTCTTAGAATCACCAAGAAATTGAAACTTTCTGTTTGTAGGACATCCATACTCATTTTGAAAGAGCTAAATATTTTCCACTTGGTTGGGCCTCCTCCTCCTCCCCAGCATGTATAGGGTGAGCAAAGATCGTAATAATCTGCCCTTCTTTGGATATGGAAATGAGCCTCAGTCAATGGGATTTGCTTTGGGGTTGTTCTTCAAGTGACAGTGAAGGATTTGTCCTGTTCTAGCCCCATGTCATCCACATCCCTCTGTAGGGGCATTTTCAAGAAAGCTGGTCAGGATTTTAGAGCTCCTTAGCACATGGCCAGAGGGGAGAGCAAAGCTTACGCTTTTAGGAAAAATAAGCCAGTGACTATAGTCTCATTATTAGCACCATGCTAAAATGAAGGAAATCATCTATCCTGGGTGAATGAGATTGACTGATCCCCATGTAAAGCTGAGCCAAACATTCTTTGAGTTACCAAAACAAGTTGAATATCTTTGTTTGACTGCTGTGGTTACCACTGGTGACACCCATCAGGCGTTGCTTTTCATATTCCATTAATCTTGCAACTAGTCTCCAGAGTGTGGCTGCATAGGTTTATGGGAATTCGAGTCCAAAGCTACAAGAGATAGGCTATCCCTTTGGACTACATTTCCCATAAGGCTATGCAGCTACTCGGGATCCTGGTTCTACTCTTAATAATGCTTCATATCCTTCACCTCCCAGGAAAGATAAAAGGATCCCAGAGTTGGAAAGGACCTCAGTGGTCACTGATGCGTGAATTCTTTGAAAGTTTTTCTAGATACACTCCTAAGAAAAACTCCAGTGTATGTTAATGTGATACTGTCATATGAAAAAAAAATATATCAGGCAAAGCTGACCCTAGGGCACTGAGCTTTGTGAATTCTTTCACTGGTGTGGGCTCCACGGAGCTGGAGGCTAGAAGTCACAGCTGGATTGGAACAAAGCAGGTGGTTCCAGGGAGAAGATCTAGGCAGAAATCCTGGCTCTTTTTTGCAAGGTTTCAGTTCCGATTATGATTCAGACACTTATTAGCTGTGTGACTCCGGGCAAGTCACTTTAACTGCTGTCTGCCTCAGTTTTCTGGTTTGTAAAATGAGGATAATAATAGTACCTTCCTCACCAGGTTGTAGTGAACTCAGGTGGGATAATATGTAGTGTTTTGCAAATAGGGATACATAAATGCTAGTCATTACTACCTTTGTGAACTTGAGAAAATAACTTCTCTCTGGGCCTCAGTTTCCTCTTCTGTGTAATGAGAGGTTGGGCTGAACGATCTCTTAGGGTCCCTTCTGGCTCCAAATCTTAGGATTACAAGGTCTAGTGTGCTTTGTGCTCCCATATTTCCTCACAGTGTGACATATATGCAATAGCTCCATTTAATGGTTTTTTTTTTAGGCTATACATATACATTCCTATTAAACATATTTTCACATTAGTGATGTTGTAAGGCATTTAATGTTAAAAAAAAAAAGCATCTTCCCCCTAGGGAGAGCCTCACTCCTCTTTCCCCACTTCCACAAGAGTGTTAATGTCATGTGGTGCAGTGTAATGATTACTGGATTTGGAGTAGGAAGCTCTGGGTTCAAATTATGGCTTTGCCACTCACTGTTTGCATGACCTTGGGAGGGTGTTTTTCCACCTCTCTGGGTCTCAGTTTCCTCATCTAAGAAATTAAGTGGTTAGTCTAGATATCCTTTAAGGCCTCTCCCAGTCCCTCAGGTCCTGTGATGTTGCAATGCTTTTTTTTAATTTTAAGGATTTAAAGTGCTCATAATAATCTGAGGAAATGAGATTGCTTCCACAAAGCACACAGGACAGCCACATTAACTGCTAGTCATATTTTCTACAAGTAATCAGCACATGATTCATTGTCGAAACATTTCGTTTTATAGCTGCCATGTGCAGGGTGTTTAGCTGTATGAAAAAATAAAACGTTACACAGTCTTTGGCCTCAAAGAGCTTCAAACCCAGCAGGGGGAAGGAAGAAATATATGTGCACAAGTAATTATAATATGCATTAGAATAAATCCATAGCAAAGACAAGATTTGGGGAGGATCCTTGATCCATAACTGAAAATGACCCTAGAGGCCATTTAGTCAAACTCTATCATTTTAGATATGAGGAAACTGAGGCCCCAGGAGATTAAAATGATTTACCTGTGGCCAGACAGGTAATGAGTGTCAGAGGCAGGATTTGAACCCAGTTATATGACTCTGTAGTCAATGTACCATATTGCTTGCCTGGGAACTTCTAGATGGGGGTATACATGGAGCAGATGGCACCTGATTCATGGAAGACAAGGAATTTACTAGGGGATGTGGAGGTTCTGGTTCAGGCTTGTGTGTTTATCCTTCATTCTCTCTCTCTTTTTTTTTTTTTTGGTGAGGAAATTGGGGTTAAGTGACTTGCCCAAGTGGCTGGTCTGAGACCAAATTTGAACTCAGGTCCTTCTGACTCCAAGGCCAGAGCTCTATCCACTGTGCCACCTAGCTACTCCCTTTGTCCTTTGTTCTCCAAGAGGACCATGACATCAGGGCTGTGATGACATGATTTGCAATTGACTTTGTTTTGAGTGAGGGAGGGCTGTGCAAGGTCACCAGCCTCACTTTCTCCTCCAGACCCATCTAGGTCCAGTGGCCAAATGCTCATCAGGACCACTGGAGATGCTCAGGATGCAGTGGGAGACCCTGGCCCTAAAAGCTAAGGTCTTTTCAGGTTCTCACTTTCAGTGAGGCAATGCCCATTCAATGAATAGCCCTCTTTAAGAAGTGAGTTATGGGATGACCCCTTTAATTTAAAAAAAAAAAGAAAAAACTCAAACTGGGAGGGGAAGACCCTTAGGTTGGTGGCCAAAAGAGAAACAGGTACTATTTACATTCACTGTGAGCCTGGAGGGCCCAAAAAATAGCCCTTAAGTGGTGCTTGGGCAGGGACTTTTTGTTGTCCTATCTATGAGGTTCGGGCACCTGTGCAGTGTATGCAAATGCATAGAGGTAGGAGAAGTCAGAATAAACTTCAGCCACCGAGAGTCTTTCACTTGGGTTGAATGAAAGTACTCAAAGCAAGCCAAGTGAGGTAAGTTGAGAATGGTGGGTAGGAGCCACATAATTGAGGACCTTGATCATCAGTTAGGCCAAGGAATTGCTTTTTCCCGTACTAAGACAATGGGCAGCCACTGAAGATTTTGGAGGAGAGTGAGTGATATAATCAAATCTATTCATTTATCTAATTCAATCCAACAAACATTTATTAAGTTCTAACCATAATGCTAGGCACTAGGGGTAGATACAAAGACAAAAATCAGTCTAGTCCTTTCATTGGGAGCCCCACAACATGTACACAGATAATATATATGAAGTTTACATATGCATACATGTATATATGCAAAACGTATTCGAAGTAATTTCAGTGAGGAGAGGAGCACCTACAACCCGGTGGGTGGGTGAGAATTGGGAAAGGCTCCTTGTTTTAAGTAGATGGCTCTTGAGCCGAACTTTGGAGGAAATTAGGGGAGGAGGGAGAGCATTTTGGCCTAGTGGGCAGTCCTAGAGACAGAATGTTGTGGTATGAGCAAGTAGGTTTGTTTGGCAATAGGGAACCATGGAAATGTTTTTTGAGTGGGGGTGAGGGTGGAGAATGACATGCTCAGACCTGCTGCTTTAAGAATATCAGTTTGGCAACAAAGTGTGGTTTGGGAATGGAGAAGAGAGACATCATGTAGGCTATTAAAATAGTTAACAAGACAAGTCTTCGTCTCCTCATGCTCCTTTACATATACCACCCCTGTCCCCAATCATATTGCCCTCTTGTGATGTCTCCTCTTCTTTTGCCCATCAGGGCTACTCTTTTGGACCAGGTTCTACCTGAATAAAAATGTATATGTCGGTGGTGGTGATGGGGGCATATAGTGGGATTTACTTAACTCCTTAGGAATGGTTCTGATGTTAATAGTAGTAGGGGAAGGGGGCAGTAAACACTTCTACCCTTCTGCCCTTATATTCCAATTTGTATTATGTTTACTGGTGGTACCTGTCTTTTCCCCAGTTGATTGAAAGCCTTATTTATCATTGCATTGCACCTAGTAGACTCTTTTTTTTTTTGGCAAGGCAATTGTGGTTAAGTGACTTGCCGAGGGTCACACAACTAGTAAGTGTCATGTGTCTGAGGTTGGATTTGAACTCAGGTCCTCCTGACTTCAAGGCCGGAGCTCTATCCATTTCGTCACCTAGCTGCCCCACCTGGTAGACTCTTAATAAGTGTTTGTCGAATGAATGAATATGGAGCAGGATAAGGCACTAGAGGCATCCTAACTTCAGGCAGGCAGGGAGGCTGTAGGTCAGAGTCCAAAGAGCATTGGATTGAGAGTCACACAATCCTCACTTGGATCTAGGCTCTGCCCCTTGTGATCTTGGACGGCTTCCCTACTCTTGGACCTATTTCCTCATCTATAAAATGGGAGGGTGGTGTGTACTAGCTGATTTCTGAGGTTACTCCCAGTTCTAAATCTGTGATTCGCTTGGGCAGGACCAGAGTAACTTGTTTTGTTAGATAAGAGGAGGTAGGAATGCATCTTTGTTCAGCCTCATTGGTGGCTTTGAATCCCAGCGTCTGGCGAGTAGTTGATGTTAAGTGAATTCTTGTTGAATTGAAAAGAGAAAAGAAAATTCTTTTTTAATCTCATTCAGAAGTTGTGCCAGCTAATCTCTTGAGATCCTTCTATAAGCCCAAGGTGGATTCTAGCAGCAGGTTTATCCAATAGTGCCATCAGTGAGACTGAATTCTCTGTGTGTCTATGGAAGCTAAAGAAAGGCCAGTGATACAGGCAAGAATGGGAGGGGAAAAAAATAAAACAGAAGGAAATGATAGAAGAGGATAGTAGAGAGATAGAAAGAGAAAAGAAGGTTACAGGTGATAGAAGCTTGACTTTTTTTTTTTCCTTTTCTTTTCTCTTGACACCTGTCCACTTGGGCAAGGACTAGCGAGGGAGAGGGAACAGAGCCCATCCCAAATTGAAGAGGCTGGAGTGAGGCTCAGTTTCCTTACCTCAGGTTAGCATTAACCTTTAGGTAAACAGAGCCTCTCCTCAGCTCAGTAAATACCAGCTCCTTGCACTGAGAGTGGAGCTCAAGGTATCTCTACGAGAGAGTAAAGCAAGGTAAAGATTTCTTATCCTTCACTTCTTTTTGAATGTGACTCAGAATTTACCTGGTCATAAAGAGGACCTGAGTACTGGCTATTGAACTAGATAGCCTGGTTTATCCATCTCTGTCACCACTAGTGTGGCTTGGGCAAATCATTTAAGCTCTCTGGGCCTCAGTTTCCATATCTGTGAAATGAGGGGATAGGAATAGGAGAATTTTCCACTTCTAAATCTGTGATCATGGGATCATATGGTCTTATGCCCTGTGGGGTTTAGCTTTCATCTGTTAGTTTATTGGCCCAAGTTGCTTTTCTGGTTGGAATAGATAAGACTGTCCAAGCTGTTTTTGGTGCAGGTAACAGCCCTCATCCACAACAGTTTTGTGTTCCAAGGGAAAATCCAATCTGGCTTCTTTCATTCCTACTTTCCATCATAAGGTTGTTATGAGAAAGCTATTAGACAAAGTGAGACTTCATGAGACCAGAGACTCTGTCTTATTTCAACTTTGTCTCCTTCGGGCACCTCCAGAATCAGTGTCCTGGACCTAGAGTCCACTGCCCTGGGTTCAAATCCTGGGTCTGCCATTTACTACCTGAGTGTCCTTGGCCAAATCATTTGACTTCCCTGGGCCTCAGTTTCTGTGTCTGTAAAAAAAGAGAGTTGGATTTGATGACCTCTAAGAGCCCTTCCAGCTCTAAATCTCTGATCTTGCATTTTGCTTGGCATGTAAGAGTAGTTAATAAATAAATGTTCATTGAATTAATTTATCAAGTAAGACAGACAATCTGTATGAAAATGGGTATAAAATGCTATACAAATGTAAGGGATTATTAATAAAATCTGCTAATGCAGCTATGTGAGCAGGGAAGGGAATATAAAAGGGGCCCCCATCATTGATTTGAGAGAGTCCATCCTGGAAGAAGAATAAAGGGGCTAAGTATACAGTGAAGTAAATGGGGTTAGGGGCCAGGGTATGCTGGGATGCTGAGAAGAGAGGTGGGGGAAGGATTAGATTGGATCTAGAGAGTTTGAGTAGAGAGGTAAGGAGAATGGTGAGGGATTGGTGAGGGAGCCTGGATTTTAAACCTGCCCCTGGGCTTAATAATGTAAGAAGCCTAGTGCAGGACCCAGAGAAGACAGAGGGTATAAGTATTGTTGAGTAAGTTACATGCTCTACTTGGGATGCATTTGAAGAACAGACACAGATCCTATCAAAAAACGCACATGTAATTGGGAACCCAAGGCAAATCAGCTTGGGAAAAACTGAAATACATAACTAATATTTTCTAAGTTGTCTGAGAGACGAAGGTTGGAGATTGTGTTGGCTCATTAGGGAATGGATGGGACTAGTCTAAGATTGCTCTTTGAATCAGGCTCAGAACTGGAATAAAAGTGGTGTGTATTGGGTTGGGGTGGAGGTGGGTGGGGGGAAGGTGAGATTCAGGTATTTGGTGGGAGTTTGTAGTTGTAGGACAATCTATCCAAAAACTTGGAAGCAGGGAGACCAAGGCCTGGTAGCAGGAAATTGTCAGAAAGTCAGTTTGATATAGCTGGGTGGAGCAGTGGATAGAGCACTGGCCTTGGAGTCAGGAGGACCTGAGTTCAAATGCGACCTCAGACATATAACACTCACTAGCCGTGTGACTCTGGGCAAGTCACTTAACCCCAATTGCCTCACCAAAAAGAAGATTCACTCACCACAAGGACTCTATAATTTAATATTTAATTTTTTCCCAATTACATGTAAAAACAATGTTAACATTCTTTTTTTTTTTTTTTTCAAATTTTGGGTTCTAAATTCTACCACAAGGACTCAAAAGCAGAGCTTAGGGAGACATGCCAGAAGTCTTAGAAGTGAATGGAGTAAGAATGAATATATAAGTTTATCATAGATCCTATTGGGGTAGGCTCCATGCCAGTAGGTAGTGTTAACTTTCAAGCCAGCACCTTACACACTCTCTTAGTGGTCTCTTTGGAGCTTTAAAAAGTTAACAGATTTCCTCGGAGCACCTAATTGTACCCTCTGGGAATAACTGCCTCACCCAGCACGGCACAGAGCTTGCCTCCTGAGTTGCAGTATCCAGCCTGGCACAGTCTCTGCCTAATAGGGAGAGCTTGTTTACCTAATGCCACCGTGCATCAGAAGGTTTCAGCCTACTCTGCAGGGTCACAGGAGAGAAGAGCCAGGCCTGGGGTTGGTTGGCTGACTCCTCTGGGTCATACAGCTAGCAGCGAAAGGAGGAGTCGGTCCCCATTTTGAGCCTGCACCCGCAAGAGTGGGCTGGAGATCTTCCAACATTAACCCCTTGCTCTGTTGTTGGGGATGCTCTTGGCATCTAAATGAACAAGGAAGGGGGTCCCTCTGGAGGTGGGTTCATGTAACTGCCCTCTGCTCTTCCAGTATCCCCACTCTTGTTCTTTTCCCAGAACTCCATCCCCAGAGATGCCGCAGTTCCTGGCCTTGGAAGAAGTGGAACTGGGAGAATCAGATGAGAGGGAGGACATCTCTGTAGAGGGAGAAGCAGGAAGGCATGTTACCCTGGCTTTTGTTGAGAAAGATCCTGGGGTATCGTTGCAGAAGTGTTCTTCTCAGCATCATAACAAGAAGAAGAAGAAAAGGAGGTTAGAAATGGAGGATGGAAAGTGGGAGCGGGGAGGGTAGACTGAGGAGACAAGAACTTCAGAAAAGTAGACGGGCCCCATGGAGCTAGGAGCCAGGGGAGAGCTGCCTGTTATAAAGAGGAAGGATGCAGAAAGAGAGGGGATTGATGGAAGACAACAAGTTTTATATAAAAGCCTCTCCATTATCTGCTTTAATGAAGCCGAGCAGTGGAGTCAAACTCAGCTAGAAACGGGGAGCCACTGGACTGGCTCCCTGTGGAGGCGATTGACATAGAAAACCACATATTAACATTATCTACGTTCTTTGGTATTTTTATTTATTTGCTAAATATTTCCCAATTAAATTTTAATCTGGCTCCTGCTATTCTCCAGGCAGTGTTTGATGCCTCTGGTGTAGATAATCTAAAAGGTAGCTAACCCTACAACCATTCTATTCAGTGTTAGAACATGGTTTTTTTTTTCTTTTGTAATTTCTTGCAAATAAATGTTGTCTATTGTCCTGGGAATTCCGACCATTTTGAACAGAATAACAAAGGTGTGCTCTGAAGATCTGAGTTACTGAATCTGACTCTAGCTCTCCTGTGCCTCCTCCTCCATTTGGCAACAGAGCTGTCCTTGGACTCTTTCTGACTCATCTCCTTCCTTTGGGGACATGGGGCAAAAAGGGAGGCAATTAATTATATTTTTAAAAAGATCTTTAATTCTAGCTCCTACCTTTCTTTTTTTTCCCCTACCTTTCTATAGATATAAGAGAAATAGCTTATTGGTAATACAGACAAGATTTGCCACAGGCATAATATAAATTTCCACCTAATAGATCATATACTTATGCCTTTATGGTACGTATTCTCATAACAGCCATGCTGCTGTTGCACCTGTGGAATATCCTGCAGTGGAAACTGGGGAAACTAGTTTAAATAAAGTAAGGGATCAAGTTGCCCTGAAAACTCAGATTTTAAGGACCCCCTCCCTCCCAGCAACGGATGGAATATTTTCTGATATTGCTCACTGATTTGTGGGTCTTGCCATCCCATGGTCCTTTTCGGTTTCCCTGTCTCTGTCTTGCTGCTTTCTTTTTTCTCTTTTTCAGATGATTGGTGATCAATCTATCCAGTTGCCGATATGATAGTGGTGAGCATTTTGTGTTTGGGGAACCAAGTTTGGTTGGTGAGCCACTGAATTCCTTGAAAGGGCAAGATTGCATTTTTATTCATCCTAAAGGATACAGGGAAGTAATTCCAAATCCTGTATTTCCCTTCTCATTCAATTTCAGTCAGTCGTGTCTAACTCTTTGTGACCCCATATGGGGTTTTCTTGGCATCGACACTGGAGTGATTTTCCATTTCCTTCTCCAGTTCACTTTACGTATGAGAAAATTGAGGCAAAAGGTTAAATGACTTGTCCACCCTGCTAGTGAGCGTCTGAAGCCAGATTTGAACACTGTATCCACTGCGCCACCTAGCTGCCTCCCTTCTCATCGTCTGAGCTAAATATCCAAGGGACTGGAAATCTGGTCTCCCAAAATGACTGGTTTCCAACAAGAGAGGCCAAGAATACACACCTTCCCCATACTTTATACCTCCAGCTGACATGTCAGCTGTGACAGCAGCTTTGAGGCACATGTGGTGTGAGGTCATGACCACGAAGGTTAAAGGGGAGGCATCTTTCACCCTTGCATGTCCCATTCAACAGTTTTTTCCCTTTGCCTTTTTATAATACTGTCTGTAGATTAGTAGCAAGCACAGCTAATCTGAAAACAGTGGACATTCTGAAAATTAACGATATTCTGTAATAAAGTATATGGTAATCTTTTTTTCCCCAGACATTTTCCCATCCTAATTAAGTTTTGCTCAGGCTTAGGATCATAAATCTCAATCCAGAAGGGACTTAGAGATGATCTAGTCCAATCCCTTTCATTTTACAGGGGAGGAAACTAAGGTCCAAAGATGTTAAATGATTTGCCCAGAGTCATGTGGATACTTTGTGGCAGAGTCAGGATTAGAACCCAGGTTCTCTTGATACCAAATCCAAGGTTCATTCCATTGTACCACAATTAATTTGTGTTCTCTGAGTGTTCAGTAAACAGATAACGTTTAGAAACTGTTCAGTTTGTTCTCTGTAGCAAAGATAAGCCATGAATTTAGGGCAAGGTTTGCCACAGATAAGCCACACATGCTGTTTTCTTCAATATTTTTTACCCATCCCATTTGCCATCAGTAGTAGTGCCAGTCTCAGGCAAGGGGAAAGAGGGTGGCTGTAAGAAATAGAGAGCAGAAGGGGCAATTAGGTGGTGCAGTGGGTAGAACACTGGCCCTGGAGTCAAGAGGAGCTGAGTTAAAATTTGGCCTCGGACATTAGCTGTGTGATCCTGGACAAGTCACTTAATCCCCATCGCCTCAGGAGAAAAAAAAAAGAAAGAAAGAAATTTTGGGGGCACCTAGGTGGCACAGTGAATAGAACTCTGGCCTTGAAGTCAAGAGGACCTGAGTTCAAATTCAGCCTCAGACACTTAACACTTACTAGCTGTGTGACCCTGGGCAAGTCACTTAACCCTGATCACCTTACCAAAAAGCTAAAAAAAAAAAAAAAAAAGAAAAGAAAGAACTTTTGCAGGCAGTGCCCAGCTTGCCTGACACCAGCGAGGTCTTCTCCTATTCTGCTTCATGGTCTGATGCACTCTCATTTCTGTATCTGTGATGCAGTTCGTCGGGCAGCCAGACTTTATGGCTTGCGTGAGGGAGGAGACCATGATGACTGGACCCTTTACTGGACAGACTTCTCAGTTTCCCTAGATCGAGTAATGGAAATGAAGAATTACCAGGTACTGGAGCCCGAATCAGCCCCCACCGTAGGGGAAACATTTGCTCCGGGGAGCAGGGGACATCTGGCCCTGAGCCCAAGCACTGTGAGAACTGGTTCCTTGCGTGTGGGGGTTTTCATTTCCTCCTCGGAGTTGAGGTTGGAGCTCATGCCTTCTAGCTTTCTTTGCAGAAGATCAACCACTTCCCTGGAATGAGTGAAATCTGCCGAAAAGACCTGCTGGCCAGGAATATGAGTCGTATGATAAAGCTTTTCCCTAAAGAATTCCATTTTTTCCCTAAAACGTGGTGTCTTCCTGCAGAGTAAGTGTCTCTTTGTGCTTCCTCTCCTACTTTAGTCTTCCCAACTTTCTCTTTCATCAGTCAGTCAGTGTTAGTAAGAAGCATCAGCGAGCACTTATTAAGGCATGATGCACTCTGCTAGGCTATGGAGACACAAAGACAAAAAGGAACCATTCCCTGCCGTCAAAGGGCTAATATTCCAATGGTGGACACAACTTGCAAGTATATGGCTACACACAAAACCCATGCAAAACAGAGACAAGGTAATGTTGGCGGGGGAGGCACCAGCAACTGGAGGGACTAGGAAAGGCCTCCTGAAGGCTGAGTCTTGAAGGAAACCCAGGATTCCAAGAGGCAGAGGCAAGGAGACAGACAGTACAGAGGTAGAGACCGGAGATGGAATATTGTGTGTGAGGAACAACTAGAAAGCCTGTTTAGTTCGAGTTGTGGTTGAGTTGTTTCAGTCGTGTCCAACTCTTCGTGACCCAATTTGGGGTTTTCTTGGCAAAAATACTGGAATGGTTTGCCATGTCCTTTTCCAGCTCATTTTACAGATGAGGAAACTGAGGCCAACAGGGTTAAGTGACTTGCCCAGGGCCACACAGCTAGTAATTGTTTGAGGCCAGATTTGAAGATGAGTCTTCCTGACTCAAGGCCTGGCACGCTATCCACTGTGACACCTAGCTGCCCAGTAAGTGCTTAACAAAAGCCAGCTATTATTAGCTCTAAACCTAGGAACCTTTCCTGCTTGCTTAATTTATAACAGATCTCAGGCATTTTGCAAACCTTTAAGTGCTATATAAATGTTAGTGATCATTTTATTATTGTTATTATTATTATCTTATCAAAGCAATTGCCTTCCACAGTTTTAATCTATTTTATTTTTAATAAAGAGTTAGCCTTAGTTTGAGCTGAATCATCAGCTAATATACTTATTATTTCCTATTTCCTCTCTACTCACACTGGTAGTTGGGGTGATTTGCAGAACTATAGCAGGTCAAAAAAATTTAAGACATTTATCTGTAAGCCGGACTCTGGCTGCCAAGGGAGAGGTATATTTGTCACGCGGTCTGTGAAAGATATCAAGCCAGGAGAAGATATGATCTGCCAGCTCTATATTTCAAAGGTAATTTTTTTTAAAAACTGTGGTTATTTGTAATTGTTGTGTCCTTATTGTTCGGATTTCCACTGTGCGGTACATCGAAGAAGACCGAGACCCTGCTTTAGGGGCATCCATCGGTTCAGTGAACCGAGGATGCCCACATGTGCCTGAGTCAGAGCTTGGAATCTCCCTTATATACATGACACTCACTGTCAGACTGAGGTGTCTCACACTGACAAACTGGGGCAAAAGAGACAGTTCATAGGATCAAGAATTTAGAGTTGAGAGGGACCTTGGACACCTTTGACTCCAACCCTCTGATTTTACCACCTAGGAAACGGAGGCCCAAAAAGGTTAAGTATTTTACCCAGGGCCACAGAAATTAGTAAACATCTTAGCAGGATTAACTCCAGTCTTAGTCATTAGCCACTGTATGACCTAGTGACAGAATGTCTTTTCTTTTCTTTTCTTTTCAGTAATTCTCTTTTCTCATGTCAGGCTGAGGATGAGAATCCCATTGAAGAATAACTAGTTCCCCAATTCATAGATCTGAGAGTGGCATAAAATCACATAGGAGTGGGAGAATTGTATTTCTCTTAGTAGGAATGGCCAATGGACATTTTTTTTTCTTTTTTAAAAAGGAAATCATTGATACATTTTGTTTTGACACATCAGACATTGCCCAGCATTCACCTAAACTCACCCCCTTACAAAGTATGTTATCCAAAGAGCAGTTTATCAATTGTTAACAGAATGGATAAATTCAGTCATTTTCAGTCATGCCAGATTTTTTGTGACCCCATTTGGAGTTTTCTTGGCAGAGATACTGATGTGGTTTACCATTTCTTTCTCCAGCTCACTTTTTACAGATGACTGAACTGAGGCAAACAGGGTGAAGTGACTTGCCCAGGGTCACACAGCTACTAAGTGTCTAAGGTCACCCCTGAACTCAGGTCCTCCTGATTCCAGGCCCAGTGTTCTGTGCACTGTAGTGCCACCTACCGGCCTCTCTGGGCATTGGATTATGGTAGCCTAGTTTAGAGCTGGGAGGGGCCTTAGAGGCCATGTTGTACCACCCCATAATTTTACAGATGGGGATATTGAGGCTCACAGATGCAAAGTAAATCTGCCCAAGGTCAGATTGTGAGCAAATGCCAGATCTGGGATTCAAGTCAAGTCGTCAGGATACAAGGGGAACTGTGAGGACCATAGCCTTTAATTTTGTTTGTTTCCTTCCTTCAGACTAACGTTGACCATTGTACTTCTCCAGAGCTGTGTTGACTCTCCACATTGATCTTATTTACATTGTTGTAGCCATTGTGTATATTATTCTTTCATCTCTGTTGTCTTCACTTTATACAAAGTTTTCATCTCACGTTTCATGGATTTTTTTTCATGTTTGTCATTTTTATAGTGCAGTAATATATTCCGTTATATTATCATAATCTGTTAATTCCCGGTCATGAGATATCATAGATTTATAGCTCAAAGGGACCCGAGAGGCCAATTAGTCCAATTCTCCCATTCTACAGATGAGGAGACTGAGGCTGAGAGAGGTTAAGTGATTTAAAAAAAATTTTTTTTGAAGTTAAGTGATTTGTCCAGGGTCACACAGTGGTCAGGCATCGGAGGGAAGATTTGAACTCAGGTCTGCTTCGGGGCATATAATCTGTTTCTAGCTTTTTATCTCCAGATAATGCTGCCGTGAACGTTTTTATCTTCAAACATTTTACTGGGACATAATCCTACCAGTAGAATCCCTTGGTCAAAGAATTAGACAGTTTTTCTTTCCTTCACGTCTTTTTACGGTACATTCCAGAGGGAAATAGTGCTGAAGAGTGATGGCAGCTTGCATTTGTACACAGATATTTTCCCCCAATGGTCTCCTCTGCTCATCATAGTCTCAAACATCTTTGTGAGAGGGGTAGGCACACCATTTTACAGACAGATACCCTGACAAACATTGAGCTTAGGTGCCTTGTCCAGATTCACCCAAGAAGTTGGGAGCAAAGCTTTGGTCATCTGACAACCACCAGCCCTGGCCCATCTCCAAGAATGGGCCTGAGAGGAAGGCAGTGGTGAAGATCAGTTTCTCCCAGGTCACCTGTCTGGTTTCTGTTTCCTTCTCTCCTTCAGCCTTTTATTATTGATGGCTTCAAGTTTGACCTTCGCATTTATGTGTTAGTGACCTCCTGCGATCCTCTCAGGATCTTTGTCTACAAGGAGGGTCTAGCTCGGTTTGCCACCACCTCTTATTCTAACCCTTCTTCAGATAACTTGGTGAGTAAGGGCACTGCATCCTGTCCAACTGTTCATTTCAGGTGTAAGCTCAAATACAGGGCGGAGGAGGTCGACACATTGAAAGATGACCCAATTCAAACCTGTCTTTCCCTACCTGGTGTGTTAATTTAGTGCGGTCTGCTAAAGGTTCCCATGTACAGCCCCGGGGAGAGTCCACCCCTGGATTCAGTCAGAGGGCTGCACTTGAGGACCTTTGAGGCCATGGGTTCCCCACCCCTGGTCCGTCCCATACAGCCTTTAGGTGGAGGCCGTCCTGGAGGCAAGGGGGTGCACTAGGCCTTCCCTTCCACTGCCCATCCCTCTTCATTGCAGTAGGATATAAAGCTGCTTCATTTCTTTTTTATTTTTTTAAACCAAACTCCAAGCTTTTAATTTCCTTTGATTTTCTTAATTTCTCCAACTAAATATATAAGTGTATTCCCCCTTCCTTTGTATCTCTCTTTAATCACCAAGAGCTAAAAGAAAAAGTGAAATAAAACTGTCATCCAGGGATCATAGATTTAGAGTTGGGAGGGACCTTAGAGCACCTCCAATCCCCTCAAGTTTACAGGTGAGGAAACTGAGGCCTAGAGAGGTTAAGGGACTTGTTCAGGGTCCCACAACTACCAAGTGTCTGAGGTGGTCAGGATTTGAACTTGGGTCTTCTTGACTCCAGGTCCAGTGCCCTAACCATTATACAACACTACCCTATGCTGCCACACTGTCGCTCTCTTCCCTTTCATCACCAAATGAGTGCAGAGAGTTACCAGCACTGCTTGATTACATTTCTTTACCCTGTAATCTGGCTTCTGACCCCCACCATCAACCAAAACTGCCGCTCCAAAGTTACCAGTGATCTCTTCACTGTCGAATCACAGCCTTTTTTCTCAGTCCTCATCCTTCCTGATGTCTCTGCGTCATTTGACACTGTTGATCACGTCTTTCCTCCTCCTTTCTCTCTCCTGTGTTTTCTTGCACCCATCTGACCACTCCTTCTCAACCTCCTGTGCTCAATCAGCATCCCCCTGTGTCTAAGTGTATTCTGATGCTGTCCTAAGCCCTTTTCTCTCTTCTCCCTTCCCCTCCCCTCTCCTCTCTTCCCTAGGATCTCCAACATCTATATATAAAGCCCTGACCTCTCTCCCAAGCTTCAGTCCTATGTCACCAACTGCCTCCTGGCTACTCCATAACCGTTTTAAATGCCTTATGTCTAAGGAACTCATTATTTCCCCCCCTAAACCCACTCCTCTTCCTAACTTTCCTAGGTCTATTAAAGGTAGCACAATTCTTCCAGATACTCAGATCTGAGACCTTGGAGCTGTCTTTCACTTGTCACTCTCACCTCCAGTCAGTTGCCAAGTCTTCCTAATTCTACTATACATCTCCACACACATAGTTACCACTCTAAATCAGGGCCTCAGCACCTCTCCCCTGCAGTATTTCAATACTTTTATTAAAAAAAAAGATATCTTTTGTTTTTTTACATCATCAAAATATTCCCCAATTTCTCTCCCCACCTAGAGAGCCATCCCGCTCAGGGTCACACAGCTAGCTACTAAGTGTCTGAGGCCAGATTTGAACTCAGGTCCTCCTGACTGCAAGGTTGGTGTTCTATCCACTGCACTACCTAGCTGGCCCGAAAATATATATTTTAAAGAAAGAAGGGGGGGTGGAATCAACAAAACTGATTAATGCATTGAAAAAGTCTGAAAATATGTGCAATGGACCATGCCATTGGGCCTTTCATCCTTTGCAATAATAACCTATTGGATCTCCCTCTCTCTAGATCTCTTCTCCAATTCATGCTCCACATAGTAAATTGATGTTTTTAGGACCCAGTGATAACCATGCCATTTAGTATATTTCAGGGTCCTGTTTCCTCTCGTATAAAATTCAGCTTCCTCTGTTGGCCATCCGAGCCTTTTACAGTCTGAAGGTGACCTCTATTTCAAGATGAATTTTACGCTGTCGTTCCTCCTATAGTCTCCATTCCACCTCCTGTCTCCATCCTTTTGTACAACCTGTCCCACGTGCCCTCCATGCACTCTTTTATGTGCTTCTTTCTGCCTGTTGGCATTCCCAGCTGCCTTCAGGAGCAGCTCAAATGCCCTTTCCTACTTGAGGCCCTTTCTGACCCTTCTGATCTTTCTCCCCACCTCCTCCCAAATTTGTATTTCCTTTGAATATGTATTTTATATTTTTTAAACTTCCTCCCTACCTCCTATAGAATGTAAGCTTATCAAAGGTAGAAACTGCTTCAGTTTTTGTATCCTGTACCCCCAGAGCCCAATATCTGGCACACAGCAAGGGCTATATATATGACAATCAGTAATAATAAAAATGATTACTAAATGGGATTGAAGTATATTGAATTTTCCTTTCTGACTTCTTGAACTCATTGTCTTTCTAGGATGATATATGCATGCACCTGACTAACTATTCTATCAATAAACACAGTTCTAACTTTGTACGAGATGGAAACTCTGGCAGCAAAAGGTAAGCTAAATATTTCGTTTTCTACTGTATCTCCTTGCCAGAAGCTGGCTGCTCCTTGTGATTCTGTACAGATTCTGCCTAGGCCCAAAGGTGTTCCCAACCTCTGGGTCACACAGGCCCAGGAAATATTTCTTTTTGCCCTCCAGACGTGGAGCAGTGTCTTCTGTGCCTGTAGGCTGTTAATCATTGAAAGGAGGCCAGATCATAAATCCTGGGAGGCTGGGAGAGGGAGAGATAAACAATGAACTGGTCTGCTAGCAGCATATAAAAAGTATGCTTGTTACAACTGGCTCTTCTTCCTTCCTTCCTTCCTTCGCTCCCTTCTTTCTTTCCATCTTCCTTCTCTTTCTTTCTTCCTTCCGTCTTTTTTTCCTTCCTTCCCCTCTTCCTTTGTATTCCTTTCTTCTTTTTTTTCCAAATCAACAAATACTCATTGATTGCTTGGTAATTCAAAGCACCCTACAAGGTGCTTTTTCCTTGGTTTGTGATTTTATGTGGCACAGCTAAGCCAGTGACCCTCCACTGATAGGTCATGATGCCCTCTTACATAATGGTGCCCTGGTATGTCTCAATCCCATGGCCAACTTACTTCTGAGAGTCTACAAAGAAAAGGGAGATGAGACAATTGCAGGAATGGATCCAAACCTTGACAGTCATTTTCTGACTGTGTTCTAGGAAGAGGGAGCAGAGAATTCTAAGCTGACCAGGCAGAGGGCTTAATGCATAGTAATCTAGTTTCTTTTCTTTTGTTTTTTTT